ACTTATCAATCCACCCTCGTATAACTACAAAGAAAGTTAATAGGTATTATCCTCAATAAAGCATAAAATATTACGTAGAAAAAATTAGTTACTATATTATTAAATATATTTTCTTGTAACATTTGGTAGTAAAGCCGTACACATTTGTATTTGAAGCTGCTAAAAAAATATTTAGTTATTGATTACTAATATTCACGTAATTTTTATTGTTGTGACCTTATCAGGTATTTAATTAACTTATGAAATCTTAAGAAAATCAATACTCCAGACAAAATTTTAATAGGTTTTTGTTAATTTATTTTTGTTGTGAAATGAATATTTCTAATTAAACATATAAAAATAAATTTGTAATTAGGTATATTTGTACAATACATTTAATTCTAAACCTTTCGTTAATTGAAGTAAATTTTGGATCATCGTTCATTGAGGTTATTTCATTTCAGAAAGGTTTTAATCAAAACTGCATTTTGTTGTAAATTTTGTTTTTTATATATCGAAAAATTAATTACCTATGTATGAGGAAGATGTAGAAACGAGAATGCTAATGAGCTGTTACTAAAGAATTGGAATCGTCAACTTTTTCTTCATTCATTCTATCGAAACTTTCTAATTAACAGATAAATGATGCCCAAAATTGATTAAGGGGTTTTGGGGTATATGGAGTCTAAAACATGTAACGGTGTAACCCACTCTTATGCCATACAAAAGAAACCTGGCTACGTTTTTGTAACCTTTTACATTTTCAATTATTCACCAAAGGGAAGGCATCTTTGATTTAAAAAACTAATAATTAACTAAAACAAATGCCAGAAACTGTGAACATTTATTTTTCAACTTTTTGCGCTTATAATACATTTTACATTCTGACACCTAACAACAGCAATAACAGTAACATTAATTAATTTGCAATTAACGAATTTTATAGATTTCGATGTATATTTATGTTAAATAGCGTAAATATATGTTTAAATAAACAGTAAATGACTATTCTTTATTATTTATTAACTCTGTTCTCAATCTTTCTGCCAAATGTTTTCGTATTTTTAGTTGCTGTTCCACTTCTTGGATATCTGATCCAGTTAATAACGATTCTGCGGCTCTTGCAGATTTCGGTCTTCCACCAGTCTTCTTCGGATCCTCCTGGTTTTCATTTGATAATTTCTTTTTTCTTTCGGCTTTCTTCAGGGCCACCAATTTATCTCTCTGGGCTCTTAAATATTCTTGACGTTTCCGAATTTCAGCACTACTTACCTTTTAAAGCAAAACAAAACTTATTGGATTTTGTTCAATTTGCTAATTAGGCCGTAAGCAATTAAGCAAATGCAGTAGTTCCTTAAATATTTCTCGCAACATCGTAAAAACTGCATCAAATTATTGTTAAAATAATTAAGATAACATTGTTTTGCACAAGATATTAATTTCAGAAAGCGTCTTTTATTTGTTTTAATTTATATACAAACCTTATTTTTCTGTGTTGTAGTTGTTAGTGACTTTATTTCGTTTTCGAGTTCTTCTATTTTATTTTCATCTTTGTTTTTATCTTCTGTAATTTCCGATATTAATTTACTACAAAAGGTACTTTCAATAAAAGATTTACCTTCATGAGAAGAAGCTTGTTCAAACAAGTCATCCTCCAGCATCCCCTTTTCTTCGTAAAGTTTTAATGGTGGAAGTTCAATTTTTTCGGGCAATAATTTCCTTTTAGAAAACATAAAAATAAATGGAGATATTAACTTACGATTCAAAATACATTTATAAGGCGGTTACATTTTTTGTTTGAGTTTCGGCTTTCCTTCTTGTGGCTGTGCTTTGTCGGTAGACGTTGTTACACTTGGTGTTTCTGGAGATTCATTTTCAGAAGAATCTTTTACATTTTGACTCATTAATTGCAAAGTTTGTAGTTGTATTTCTAAGTTTCTTTGGATCATCATTCGTTTGAACAGTTCAAAGTCGTTTGCAGCCCAAATTTGCTCAAAAACTGCCTGTAATTTTAGTAAAAAGAACTTTGAATTCATCTCAAAAATTCTATTCTTTATTCTTTCCGTAATATTTAATCAAAGCCGACAGAAATTAAGGTTATTCATTTATCAAAAAACAACGGCCAACGTTTCAGTCTTAGTTGTTATACACTCATAAGGTAGTCTAACAACTGAGAGAAAAATCTTCAATCTCTGTCGGTTTTAATTTATCCTTTGGATCATCTCAAACTTTTCAGAATTTGAAGTCAGGAATTATTAAAATTCTAAAATTATTAAAATGCTTTAAATCATATTTGTGTTTTAATTATATGTATTAATATGTATTATTATAATCAATGTTTATAATTCCTTTGGTTAATTGGTTTTAAAAATACATATACAAATAACATACGTAATCAAAATGTTGTGCTAATCCTTGATTATGCTGTAAATTACATGCATCTTCAAACTGTTGAGGTGTTATTCCAATATCGTCCATATAACTACCTAACATTAAATCGACCTACAAGAGGATAATGTTCTTAAAGTAAATTTTACATTATTACTGAAATATTTACCAAGTTACGGTATTCTTCAAATAATTTTTTATGGGATTGGTCATGAACCATATGAGTTTCAAAAGCTAAAAAGTACACCACGCTAGGATAACAAAGTCTTTCAGAAAATAATTTCGATGATACGAAACATTGATTAATATTAATTTGTGAAAACATTCAAGGGGCCATATTTATAAAATGTACGGGTACCTAATACGTAATTTTATTTTTTTACCCTTTTTACCTATAACTAAACTTTTTTATAACTTTGGAGTAAATTTTCTTCGTTCTAATTCTATGAAAATAAGCGGAAAGCAGGTATAGTTATAAGTAGAATCTTACCGTGACAATTTTCTTCAATAAATGTTTGTATTGGCCCCTGCCAAACGGGGCCATTTAAGAAACCCACTAGGGAGTCAAAAATCCACACGCTGTCCTCTGAGCCCATTTTAAAAGGTAGTTATTTAATTTTTAATTCTCGTTGTGATGTTTAGTCACTCTAGATATTGCTTGATAATACTGCAATATTTTGTTTGTGTTCAAACAGGTTGTTTTAGTCGTCTTGGTAACCCACTAACAGCGTTCGATATGCAAATATCACATGAAAAGCAGTAGAATACATTAAGCAACTGCTATTTTTGAAGACTTTTAACTCCTTTGTACATGATACGAATTTTTGTCTAAATAAGCTGGTCTCACTGTTTAGCCGGATAGTGGATTACACTGTAGAATGTATACGGCGTTATTCCGACTACACGCCGTTCCAGCTATATATCGTAGCCAATTTACCCCAAAACAAATCGTCTTGACCACTGAATAGTGGTTTCTGCACGTCCGATACAAGATAATCCAATCTAGGAATACCTCTACCTCTCCTAATTCTTGTTTCTGCATCTAATATGTCTCTAACTACACCCGCATGCCTGACAAGGTGTCCTACTTACTAACCTATCTCACTTATTTCTTATTGACTTCCGTAGAGTCCTCTGTTCTCGTATTTTTTCAAATACCTCTTCATTTCTAATCTTTTCTATCCACGGTATCCTCATTATTCGCCTGTAACATCACATTTTACTACACTTCTAACCTTTTCTTTTGCGCCGCGCCAGCTGTCTATGTTTTGCACCCGTACAGCGCCACGCTCCAGACATACACCTTTAACAATCTTTTTCGTATTTCTAAATCAACCGTTCGCGAGCATAGAAGTGACTTCTTTTTATTGAAGGCAACACGACTTTGCGCTATCATCTGCTTTATATCCCTACTACTCCTTCCTCCTGACTTATCTGAGTTCCTAGATACCTAAAATCAGTCACTTCTTCTAATTTTTCGTGTCCTATCTTTATATTCGCTCTTTCCCTACTTTTTCTTCTTTTGCATACCAGTATTTTTGTTTTAGTTTTATTTATTTTCATACAGTACTGTTTTGTCGATACCGCTTCCATTGTAATTAAAACTATCTCTAACTCCTCCTTGCTAGATGCTAATGCTGCTATATCATCTGCAAATCTAAGCATACTAATCTTTTGCCCCTTTATATCTATTCCTGCAGTTGTACTGTACCTTTGTGGATCGCAATTATCATTCTTCAATATACAATCGTTTTTTCCCCGGCGAACGGCACGAATTCCTATGATATAGGTACAAATGCTTTAGCATGAATGGCGTCGAATCGCCGGATCGGTTTACGGCGAAAATTCGTATCTCGTGTACGAAGGCACTTATTGCAGTATAGGTACATAAGTGCTCTAATTTAATCCTATAATTGACTCTAATGATACGGTCGCAAAAAGCATGCAATAGGTTCGTTAATTTACAAAATTAATGATAAAGCTTCGTACTGAATGCTTTCATTAATTTATCGGACACATTTTCCTTTTCAAAAAATAAAGCGCGCTGGAATTGTTGTATTAAATTTCAATTTCAATTGTTAGGAAAGTGTGTATAGGGGTTTTCATTAAATCACAACGGCTTATATTTTGTTGTTAATGTTAATACTATAAAGAAAAGAAATATTTTTGTATTTTTGACTTTAAAGAAGTTTTGATGAATTAGCTGAATACAACTGAGAATATTATTATTTTTTTTTTCAATCATCGAAAGGAAAACAGTTAGTTATAAAACAGTAACAAAATTTATTACAAGTTACAGCAATTTCCACTTATAATATAACTATGTTACAATACTGTTACAAACTATCTGTAGGCATGTTATGAATAAACTTAACATTAATTAATTATTTAATCATATTCGTACTATATACAGTTTTCATGTCCTTAAATATACTACAGGTCTCATAAGTCTGAAACAACTTCAGTGTTAGTGTTTCCGCACACATTTTCTTTCGTTTTACTTTTATTTGATTGTTGACATACCCATCGTTTCTTGTTGTATTTCTACCTTGTACGTGGGATTGTCATACGCCGATTGACTCACCCTCTGCGAGGGGGCTGTAATCGCAGCCTTCTTCTGACTGTGTCTCTTGAACAACACCATCAATAGCACCACCGTACTAACGATAGCCAGGGCTGCTATGATTGCAACCACCACTAAAGCACCATAATAGTCGCTTTTGTTTTGTTTCGACATTTCCGCATCGAATAATTCTGAAACAAAGAATATCTTAACATGCACTCATAAAAAAAAACGCCAGGGCAGTTTCAACGTAATTTATTTAAAACTAAATACCTAGCGCCATTTTTTATATAATAATATAATTTGGGTTTAGTATAATTATGACCGTTGATTCCGGCCGTGAAAGCCTTTGTTCTTACTATTAAGTTTAGTCTTTTTATCGTTGTACTATTCTGGTAATCTTGACGCTGCCAAAATAAGTTTTTAGAATGGGTAGGATATTTATAACATTTACTTCAAGTTGATTTAGTTTCTTTTTGTTATTAAAAGCAGAAATGTTATGTTTTTGACGTTTTGTTACCGATTATATGAATTGAATATTGACTATTGAATTTAACGCAATATTCGTAGATGGCAGTACACTTGACCTTAGTTTTGATACTTCATTCCTGTTCTTTGGTTCCTAAATTCAAAGTTCGATCACTTTGTCCAATGCATTATGGTTGGGTCATATAATAGTCATTGTAACTTGATTACGTATGATTTGTTTGTCTTAATTGTTACTGAATTCTGTAAACTTTGTAATGAATAAACAAGAAACGACTTCAAAATCCAAATGTCAAATTAACCATAGGAATAGCAAAGAAAATAGTTTAGCTCTTAGTTAAAAATAAATACTAGACAATAGCTCAGTACCTATATCAATTACGTAAATTGTAAAGAACTTGATGCGATAAACGTTGAACAAAGTTGTCAGGGTCTGAAAATAAATATCAAAGAACATGAAGATAGCATTAGAAGTAAATCCAATTGTGTTATTATCTATCTAGGAACATGACATTAAATTTAAATGTTATTTAAACATTGAAAATGAAAACTCTGTAACAAATAATACTAGGCCATTAGTATGAACGTGCATAACGTTTTGGAATGTTATTAAAATTATTTGCTATATTATCCTTAAAGCTAACGGGACCGGTCGAAAGTACTATCATCGAGTTTAATTTCATATCCTCAACGTTGTAAACGGATGGCAACGTCCGCAGGTTTATTTCCGGCTTTAGGTAGGTATATTTTATTAGCAATATGGGTACAGATATTTTAGCATTTCATATATTACTACAAATTAACTTATTTCTATGTACTTACCTCCCGCTACGATTTGAGACGGTTTAGGCGGATATGGACTGGATTTGGTTGTGAAATCCTTCACGTTACTCGTCTTGATTTTTCCATTAGTCAAATAAACTTCCAACCACAGCCTGTATTTGGTTCTTGGGTTAAGGTCTTTGATAATGGTTTTGGGTGTTGAGTCCCGTTTGGCAATTTTAAACGTGCTAAAGTCCCCTTTTCCCGAAGGAGTTTGATAAATTGCTCTGTAAATGTTAACGTACTTATCTTGGGGATACGGCACTCCATACCACGTTATTTCAACACTGGTAGCTTTAATATTCGTAATTTCCAGAGTCACATTAAAACCATACGTATCAACTTCATTTGCTGTTGTAAAATGTAACATATGCTCGTAGTGGAGTTCAGACGTCTGACCTTCAAATGGGATGAAAAATATCCCCACTTCATATTTGGTATTGGGTTTTAGATGATCTAAAGTGTAGGTAGTGACCATCCTATGTATGAGAGGGGTTGCTTGGTATATTTTGCCATCGATCTCTTTGTATCTGAGTTGAATACCATCGATGAGTTGCAACTCTTGGTCAGCAAATTTGCGCCAGATTACGGTAACCCATGTGGAATTTACGTCTGTTATTTCAAGTTTAGGGTCTATGGGAATCATTGGTGGGAGAGATGCTCCTGTTTCTTTTGGTGTGCGGACATTATATACCTCACTGGTAGGAGTGTTATGAAGACCCCGAAGGATTACCGTGATTTTGATCTTGTACTCTGTGTCAGCTTCAAGCCCAAGAAGATCGAATTCCATTTGTGGCGTTGAAATGTACTCGTCAGGGGGAGTAAATACTTGAAGATTCCAGTCATCTAGTTGGTCACTTCTTTAACATGAGTGGTGTTAGTTTATTGATAATTTCGTACCCGTTTTTAGACTTACAATTTTGATGTATAGCGCACTTCAACTTGGCCATGTAAACCTACAATGATGGGTGGTACTGAAAATTCTAATCGAATGGTATGGGCGTCTACAGCTTCGACCGAATGGACCACAATTTCGTCTTGGTTGCGATGCATACCGTTAGGTGGTATGTTTGGGAATCCTGAAAATATCTGGCCACCTGAAAGCAGTGCTAGTAAATATTCATTCCGTATGTTTTGGGTCAATCTCGCAACCAACCTGATATCGTTTTGTTAAGTTGAGATGGAATGGGTAAATTTTGTCCGTTTGGAATGATAATGCCATTGGATGAATGAGTGGGATATTGGATGTAGTTTGGTTGCGTAGGTGCTCTGTGAATGTGCTGCAAGAGTTGATCAAGATCGATACCATGGCTTGGTACGACTTGTGGATTTTGATTGATTACGAACGGTACAAGAGGATGGTCGTTAGTGGATGGTACGAGTATGTTTGGATTAGCGTATTGTGGACGATTGGGTTTCTGCGACGGATCGACTGGTACGCTGTGAATTTCGAACACGGACCCCGGCGGATAGTTAGCTAATTCGGGGTGCTGATTTATTATTTGCAAAATTTCATCTGATTGACCGGATGCGTGAGGTATTTGAGGATATTGTTCGGTCGCATAAAATTCTGTTTGATTCGTGGAAGGGTGTTTTGGAACTTTCGAATACTTGGTGTTATCAAAAGGCGGGCGTTTTGTCTTAGATTCGTTTACATCTGCGCCTGAATCTTTACCAGGTTTATTATATTTACCGCCAGAAACTTTGGTTTGTTTCGTATTACTGACGTCGGTTTTATAATTTGGACTAAACGGCCCAAGAAACGTTGATGTGTTTTTGGTAAACGGTTTTGTGATATTGTTGGGGTTTTTGTGTGAGGAGTTTTTCTCAAAATAATAGTTTTCTTCTTTTTTAATATTAGGCACGTGAATACCGAATACGGGGTCTTTGTCTGTGTTTTTATTGGCATAGATAAGGAGGGGTCCGGATGTTTTCGAGGGTTGTTTTGCAGGCCAGATATTAACTGGTCCTCCAAAAGTAGAATCCGTTGCAACTCCTTTGGTTGCGTTCTCTTTATCGCCTTCAGGTCCTGAAAGGAAATTTTCTCAAAATGAATAACCGAAAACCCCTCAAACCTAATATTGCATTTACAAAGCCAGCCGAAAGTATTTATATACAGAAGAATGAAATGAAAGGTCAATCCACAATTCCAGTCAACTCCTACTATAATAATAATAATAATAATAATATAATACACCCATAAGAGATAATATCAGGTTAGTTGGAGGAAGGGATGCCAAAATACCAAAGGGTAATAAAGACTTGCCTGTAAAAACGCTGTTGGTCGTTGTAGAATTACAAATCCAATACATACAGCAATCGTCACCTGCTAAATGGCTTAAGGTTGCTTCATGTTGAGGGCAACCAATGTTAGCTGGAGGAAAAGCTGTTACTGGTGGACATATATTCTGGCATTCGATTTTTCCCATCTCGCAGTAACACTTCTTTTCACAACCTGTTACGTTAGACGGAATTTCTTGCCAATTAGTGTAAATTTCACCAGCGTATGAACATGATCCGTTGTTTTTGCATCTAACTTCTTTTGGACAACAGTTTGGCGGTGATGGTACGAAGTCCTCAGGAACAGTTTGCCATTCTACGCAAGTAGGATCCAAAACGTCTACTCCAAAGTATGTCGGACATTCAATTTTCAAGCAATGTACACCAGAATTTTTGCACACGCAAAAAGATGTGCAGTTGTCGTTGAATTCTTCGTTTAATTTGTACATTTTTCCTTTATATTCGCACGATTGGTGACCTCCACTTGCTTCGGCATCTTCGCTGTTCTCTGTTTTCGTTATTTCAACAATTTCACTGGAGCCGTGTATCTTAACATATTTGGGATCTTCTTGGAATCCTGATAGGAGTCCTTCAGGTTTTAATTTATATGTTTTCCAAGACATCTTGTCAGTACTAAGTTGTACTTCCGGAAGATTGTTTTCATCTACGATAGAATTGAATTTAATTCTGATGGCCGTCTTGTTTACGAGGGATGCCGTTAGTATTTTGGGGTGAAATTTGTCATCTTTCTCTGATTCGTTATCATCTAGAGTGACATCGCAGAGGAGCTTTTTACAGCAAGGATCTGATTGGTCAGGAACTTCTACGCAACGATCAGTGGTTTTGTGTTCCATTTCCGGACATCTGGAAGATTGCGAAGGAGATCAAAGTCAGTTCGTACTAATAATGAGTTGTAAAGATGGTACGTCAAGCGTAACAACCAACGACATGATCCGACCTTGAAATGGTCAGTGAAACATGTGAACTTTAGTAACCACGTCGGTTAGACAAGATCATATGAACATCTATTCGCTTTATGTAATGATTGAATGAGTTGGCAAATATTTTTGAGTGTTTCATTTCTCACACGTGAAGAAGAATGGCTATTATTAAAGATATAAATACCTAGGTCTACAAGTGACTTTTCCAGCAGCTTCACAATGGCACACTGATTGGCAACCATCTTCGAACTTTTCAGATCTCTGGTAGGTTTTGTTTTTGTAAGTACACATCTCGAAAGGTTCCGTTTCTGTAAAAAAAAAAAACTTTTGGGTGTTTCATTCCTACCAGCCAGTAATGCTGCTAGGCGGGCAGTCCCTCCGGACTATGCTGGAAGGTAGGGCAGAAGGCCCTCTTCAGCCTGCTTTCAGGAATCGTGGGAATGGGTGGGTGGTGGTTCGGGTGAGAAAGTTGAGACGGACGAAATGAAGACAGAAGAGAATGAAAGATTATCTGTGGAATAAATATTACTGCCTCAGCATTTGCCTAAGTGATCCAAGGAAACCACAGAAAAACTTGGACCAAGGCAGACGGACGGACCCGGAATCGAACCGGCGTCCTCCCGAATGCTAAGCAATGGTCTAGACCACTAGGCCATGCCGCTCGGTCCGTTTCTGTAAGGGATGTCAAGTAACATTATCGCAATAGTGCATATGAAATTATGTACAACATTTACGTTATATTTGGGTATAAATGACTTAAATTAAACAGTGATAATACAATTGTTATTGGCTTTAACAAATCTTTTCAATCATAATATGATTTATTAGTTAATTAGTAGCTTCATCAGATGACAAGCAACATTGTTAGGTAATACAACGTATATTCCCTCGACAAAAATTTTCAGTCTCTCTCCAGTCTCTCAGAATCTTTAAGCGTCTCTAAGAGCGTCTCTCACAGTCTCTCAGTTATTGCCTAGGTGTTTTTATTGATCTCTCACAGTCTCTGTATGAGAGACTCGAAAGATAAAATTGTTAATTCAGAGATTCGAGTCTCTCACAGAGAGACTGAATGAATAAAACTGACAAATTGAGAGACTGGAGTCTCTCGTAGAAAGACTGGGATCTCTGAAATATGTTGAACTTGAAATGAGAATCTCTCTCGAGTCTCTCGTTCAGAGACGCTAAACAGTTTTTTTGATAGTCTCTCTTAGCGACACCAGAGAGACACGGAGACTCGAGTCTCGTTTTCAGAGACTCTGAGAGACTGAACATTTTTATCTCGGGTTACTATTGAAAAGGGCGAATTTTAGGGTTAAAATTTATTAAAAGGATAGTGCTGCCTTCGAAGTTATCATTAAGTCATTGCTTTACTTATTCCTAAGTTTCCACATAAATTTAATTTGACATTGTTAACTTTATGTAGAAATTTGAAATCAATATTAGAACGAAGTCCTTTTATTAAAAGAAACTTGACATTCGTTTTAATCTTTCTTAACGGGTAGGATGTTCTTTCATATGATCTTCGAGCGATATTCCTTTTTGAAGTTTCATGTTTCAGTATGTTATCTGAATTATTTGATGTTTTATATGATTTTAGACTTTCGCTGTTTATTGTTTATTACAAGTCATTAAAATAGAAAGTTTCAATGATGAAGTATATTTACCTATATCAGAAGCACAAAACCATGTGCTGCAGCAAGGATCGTCGCTGGATTTTTCCGTACACAGCGGATCCGTTGGTTTCGACCCCTTTTTCACATAAGGATGCACACATCTATCAACGCAATCCATTTTCCCATTAGCACAGGTACAAACTGAGTCACAGGCGTGTTCTAATTTTTCGCCATTTTCATACGTTAATCCACCCAGCATACAGATACCTAAGAAAGTTTTTATTATTATGGTTAGCATCAAATTTAGACGAAAAATCATATTACAATGGTTAAAAAATTGTGGAATTTATTGGTATTGATTGCTGCCTAGTCAATTGACTAATTTTTTCTAATAAAAGTGTATATAAACGATTTTTTCTAAAGATAGAACTTTTTACATCGAATTCTCGGTCCCAAAAACCTCTACTTTGAGAATTGCTCATATCAAATTATACGAGACCAAATTGATCGAATACATTTTCTAATAAAACTAAATGAAAACAGGTTTTTGCAGTTTTTCCTCAAAATGAAACCCTATTTAGTCGAATTTGTAGTCAATAACACACTATCTCAATTTTGTCAAAATCTTTAAAGTCGTTTCGAGAAATTAGTGCGAGAAAATCAATGATTTAGGATTGATTGCTGTGATTAATATTACTATTCTAGAACTGTTATTAACTTCTGTTGATTTTGCTTAGGTACTAAAACGTGTAAGAATTAGAATTTTGCGTTGTAAGTATTTTCGTCGTTTTAACGAAAAAAAACCTATTTATGAGAGTGGAGAGAGAGAGCTTTTAACTGTAAATCGTTTTTCGAGAACAAGGAGCTTTTGTTGCTTAGTCAACAGTCAATACAGCTCTGTAACTGTATTTTACACAAATAGTTTATTTTTCTGAAGAAACAAAACCGTTATTTAGAAATCCCATGCATTTCCCCGCATATAAAAGTAACTGAAATCTGGAATATTCCCATATTTCCAAATCAACCGAAACAACCGAATTAGGGATTATACATAAATACGGTGTTGATGGAGGACTCATTAGATTACTCATAAAAAATGTTCACGGTTTCGTTAGAAGTAAAAGATATTGATATTCTAAATGAACAAAAATTAAATTGATTTCATACAGTCGTTGTTGGAGTTGGAGTAAGTAATAGAACTGATGAGTACAAGTCGGTAGATCTTCCTATTCACATTTAAAAATTGATGGGAGAAAGAATGAATATGAAGAGAATAAGTAATAAGAGAATAAGTTCGAATTATTTTATTCGATTAAGCTAACGTGCTTATCACGTTGAGGTTGGCTACGCCGGGATTCGTTTTCAGCAAGTAGATATCCACACAAGTGGACCTTGTTGGTGCATACGTAATCCTAAAATGTAGCATCGTGCTACAGATGGCGTTTACTGCGCCGTTTGTAGTATTTTCTGAAACGCACTGTTAAGACAGCAGGTAAAAGTTGGTCTGTGTTCTGTCGGAGCTGCCTGCGACGCGCTGATGAGATCCAAAAAGATCGAAATCGCGATCCGCTTCTGGCAGTTTCGACAGAATACAGACCACTTCGAATTATTTTTTTTAGAATAGGTATTAGTTCATTTTCTTTAAGTGCTATTTAAGCTGACTTTTATTGTAAAACTCGTGCGTTTTATGTTTACAATACATTTTTTACACCTAACTTCAAACTAGTATAGACTTTTTTCTGGTAGTTTCGTGAATACAGGGTTAAATTTCTTAGAAATAGACGATGAAATTTGAATATCGTTTTTCCAATCATATCTCACATTGGACAGTGGCATATTCGCTCGATTACTACGGCAGGCAGAAAAAGGTCAAAATGTTAATTTAGCAGCTCTGGAAAAATCGAATCCCCCGGCGGTGAAGGGGGGAATTTTTCCTACCTATTATTACTTATTTAGTACAAATGTTTCCATCTGACGAGTAGAAAATAATTTTTATTTAATTACAAAGGAATAGAAAATAGAAAATTGATTATTTCTAAGCAAAGTGTTCGCGAGATGTTCATTCTTCCTTTTAATGTGTACAAAAGTGTATTCCGTATGATGCTTGACATCTTGTTTTTATTGTCTTATTTCAAACATGTCTATTACTATTGTTTTGTATGGAAGTTACCAAATGAGCGTTACTTCTATAGCGCTGTGAGCACGTACCTTTTTCAAGATGGACAGACAGAAATGAGTTCAGTCCGTGTGACTTAGCAGACTGATTGACAAAGCAACCTTAATGATAGCAAATCAATCAAAAACAATGTTCTTTTTGGTGTGTAATTGGTTTGTTCTTTGGCCTTATATTGTTTCGATTTGGCATCATTTGATATGAGACATGACATTGAAATCGTTGATTAAATCTACCACCCTCCCTAACCTCTCAATCGTTTTCCACCATTGCAAATTTTACCACAGCAGGCACTTTAACAGAATTATCATCCCAATTGAGGAAATGGCTTATTGTACCCGATCGCTTTTTTTACGATGGTACTGTCGACGAACATTAGTAGATAATGTAAATCCTGTTATACTTAGAAACGTACCGAGCCTGGTCATATTCCTTTCAAGTGAACTGACAGTTACTTTCTCCTGGTCACCTTCTTCCTCTTCATCATCCATACTGACGTCGCTAAGATCTTTCACCTTTCCGCTGGTCGTCGACTTGGAAATTTTGTTATCTTGCCCTGGTTCGACGGAGAAATTCAAAGCCCTACCTTTCGGTTCGTCGGAGACGTTACCGGACGTCGAAGTCGACATCATCGTAGGATCGGTGGGTGCGTATTCAACTTCGTGGTTTTCATCTTCGGAAAGCATACTTAATGCTTCTGGGGGTGGTACAGGCTTTTCCGTTCCATAAATTATCATCCCTTCGAAATCGGGATCTGAAACAATGTGTCCATTATTTACTATGATGCACTGAGGGTTTCATCTTCTACTCACAAAAGCTTTAGCTATGGGACCAATTGTCTATTGCCTTTTTTTTAGAAAGGTCCTGGACGTTTTAGAGAATATAATAGCTGCGTTATTGTACGTAATTTGAGTATTAATTTATTTATACTCTAAAGTTAATTAAAAGTAACTACATCTAATATTCCCACATCTATTCTATACCAACAACATATCAATAACGTAATCACGTCATGGTATTTTAATACCCAATAAAATTTTTGTTTACTCCTGCACGTTATGGCAAAGCAAAAAGAGGTTTTCGTGATGACATGGATATTGTAAACAACTCGGAGCGTCATTTTTATTGTCTACCGGTTTTTATAAATAAATTGACATTCCCACAACGACAGCCGAAGAAGATTAACCTTGGAATTTTTTAAATGATGACCACGTTTCTGAGATGAATGAGAAGAGATGGTATTTACCTTCAATACGTGAAATGTGCGTGAAATTGAAGCCGAACCACCTTTACATAATTCTTTGTAACGAACAGAATCATATCATATTTTGAGCCATCACCCATTAACCTTTTTGTTTTTTATCATTCTATACAATTCTTAGATTTCATGCATTTGCCGAAGCATCTACACAAGAGATAAAAAAGTTCAGTCTCTCAGAGTCTCTGAAAGCGAGACTCGAGTCTCTGTCTCTCATCGAGTCTCTCTGGTATAGCTGAGAGGGACTGTCAAAGAAACTGTATAGCGTCTCTGAACGAGAGACTCGAGTCGCTTATAGACAGATCCTCATTTCGTATCCAGTCTCTGAACGAGAGACTCGAAACTTTGAACGAGAGACTCGAATCTCTCAATAAGTGGTGTCTCGATAGACATGGTTAAAATTTTCTAAGTTCAACATATTTCAGAGATCCCAGTCTTTCTACGAGAGACTCGAGTCTCTCAATTTTTCAGTTTTATTAATTCAGTCTCTCTGTGAGAGACTCGAATCTCTGAATTAACAATTTTATCATTCGAGTCTCTCATACAGAGGCTGTGAGAGATCCATAAAAACACCTAGGCAATAACTGAGAGACTGTGAAAAACCGTGAGAGACGCTCTCAGAGACGCTGAAAAACTCTGAGAGTCTGGGGATAGACTGAAAATTTTTGTCTAGGGATAGAGGTTATTGCTTCTTGGTTAAAATCCACATTTATAAAAATTGTGCCAATGCAAATTTCAACTACATTTTATTGAAATTGTCTGACATTGTGACTTCCTTGGAAGCACCTACTTATAGGAGCAATAATACTTTAGATTTTCAATTATAAAATTTTAAAAACTACTAATGCTGTTTAGCAGGCATTCTTTTCCGACAAATCTCTGAACGAGAGACTCGAATCTCTGAATTAATAATTTTATCGTTCGTGTCTCTCATACAGAGGCTGTGAGAGATCCATAAAAACACCTAGGCAATAACTGAGAGACTGTGAAAGACTGTGAGAGATGCTCTCAGAGACTCTGAAAGACTCTGAGAGACTGAAGAGATACTGAAAATTTTTGTCTAAGGATGGTAGATCGCTGTGAGATCCTCGTTTTACAAAAATTTTTAAAATTTATCCTTTGAAGTAATGCGAACAACTAGATACATATGATACAGAAAAACGAACTAATTAAAAAAAATCACTTTCTATGTTGCTTAAATTCTAAAACAAGGAAGCTTTCTCGGAAGTCTGGTTTCTTTGTGGAACTTAAATTGTTCACTATTACACTACGTTTTTTATGTGCAATTCCTTTCATGAAGTTAACCTATCTATAGCTGTGTATGTGGGTGTAGTTGCGAGAATAGCCCTGTCCCACTGTGGTAACTTACGATTAGTTTTAATGTACAACTTATTGTTTGGAGTTACGCCACAAAAAGTGCCAAGCTGATGCCAGGTAACGAATCGAGTCTAGGCAAAACCTTGGATCTATTGTTATAAAATTGGTGGCAACGCGGAACGTGAGAGGTCAACAATCTGTCTTTATGAACCATTGTTATGGAGCGGTAAAATTAGTTCAACATACATACACTTATAGTGTTTGGTGTTTGTCGATAATGATAATGCGTTTGATTTGGACGAAAGAGAGATGAGAGAATTCAATTTTGCGTTTGACCCACAAAATTCGGCAAATGACAACTGCAGCCTCCCTCTACGTATAAAAAATATCAATGTTCAAAAACCGATACATGCCTATATTTAATGAAGTGGAGAGAGTCCATTTTAGAGAGCAGAATTTTAAACCCTTTTGATTTCTCGCATGTAACAAAGTGCATGATGGCTGCAGTTGAGCATTGCCCAATAATTTATACACGGAAATTCTTCACGCTAAACGACGCACAACTGATGCAAGATAAATTTTGTAGAATGGGAGTCCTGTTCTGTTGTACATTTTATATACTTATTATAGTCGAGCAGCATCGAACAACACTGAAACTTTATACTTTGAAAGGCAAAAATTCTGTTGTCGAAATCCGTTTATTTCATAATTCTTAATCTTACTGCTTGCCAGTAGTTTCGTTATTGTTAATTAATTTTATTGTGGGAAACTCAGCGGGATCTTCAACGTTCAGTCACTCCCAGAAAATCAGTCAGTCAACCTTTTCTTCGAGAATAAAGAAGAAAAACTTTAATCTATTGTTGCTGATTTGTGATTTAAAAAAAATGCTTTCAATTCTTCGAGCATAATTTATTGTGTTGCAGTTAATGTTTTCGTGCAGATTTTTAGTTGCTTTGAAAGTTGTTGAAGACTGTGTTGTTGTCAGAAACGTATCCTACTTATCGAGAAATGATGTAGATTGCTTTTTTTATAACATTAATACTAAGAGAGATTCACGGTTGACCAATCATACTGAAATGCATCAAGCCTCGATAAATACGTTTTTATTATTAATTTCAACTTCCCCATTGACAAAATAGTAAATAAATTTACCGATTTATCGTTTTTATTTAAAAAACGAATTAAAAAACAAGATTATTTTAGCCAGTACTTTTATTTTTACTCCCTGTCCTTTTCATTTCTATTACAGGACAAATAAACATTAACAATTATTATATTAAGGTTGAAATATCATGACTTTGTAGTCGTGTTTGACAGAATCATGTCATACATTCATTTGCATACAGAGTAACACTAAGGTCGGCATTTTTGATGACGATTACTGTACATTCAAAATCCCCGATTAAAAAAGTAAAAGTTACTTGAAAACAGTACGTGAATTAGATAGATATGATTGATTCTCTATTTATTTATTTATTCTGTTATTGTTCTCCGGAACGAAAATTTTCACATTATTGCGTCGGTCGTACATAAATTATGCAGTGCTCATACGCATCGATGTGAATTGATGGTTAGACACACGTATCACATTTTTTCTGTCTGAAAATGCCATCACAATTATTGCTTTGTATTCTTGCGTCACAGAGAAAACGTAAACGATTATTTATGTTGAACCAGTATTATACGTTTTGTTTTGATTGAATATACGGATTTCATAAGTACAAAATGATAATACTTTTTATCACAATATTTATCCATTGGTTGGTTGAAACTGACAATGGCGTGCTGATGAGAGATAATAAGATCGAAACTGGCATCCACACTTGGCGGTTTTAATAAATTACTAACCATGAAGTTAATATTACTCTATTTATACTTAAACAACAAATACTAAAAATAGGTACAATAGAAATTATTTGAAAATTTGTTCATGACCGATCACAATAATGAAAAAACATCTAATCATGTTTAAAATATTGGTTAAGTCCGATATGATTAGTTTTATTTTCCAAATTTTCTCTTTTGTTTCAGATTGTACCATCAGTTTTCCAGAGAACCACCTCGTTTGTAACACATGCAAAGGTAAGAGATTGTTAGTCGTATTTGCGCACAATTTTGTGCTAAATTGGCGTTAAAATGAAACAGCCAACGGGTTTTCCATTGGCCAGCACAAGTGCATGATAATTAAAGGGCTTCAACTTCCTTGATGTGAAGTGAAAGTCGGACTGTTCACTGTACTCTTCGAGAAACCATTCAACTCTGTTTCAAGTGTTTCAGTAAAACTTTGTTCAAGTACTTGCCTACATATCATTCCATTTTTTATTACGGTAATTATCATCTCTAAACAATTTCATTCTTTAGAAAAAGAGGCGTTTTCTAGAATAAATATTTTTCAATCATCTGCGGTTTCCACCGTATATAAAAGCAAATAGTAGCGTACGTTGTTTTCGCAAACCAGCTTTTGTGGTTTCACTTCATTAGTGCCTTTAATTCAGTTAGTTAAAATTGATTTGCCTCGTTGATTCTTACACTTTGCTAACTAGAATTACTTCAATTTAGATTTCTTTTTAAGTTTGTTTATTATTACAACACAACAATTATTTTCTTTTGTCGTAATAATTGATAAACGTGGTATCGATCCCAGAGACGATATAACTATAGCAAATAAATCTTTAGAATCCCATTATAGTTAGGTATTCATTTCAACAGACAAAAGTAAACGATGCATAGATTGATAAATGCGCAATTTGGATTGCTTTCGGATTTAATAAAACTTTATTTGGTTTAATGAACATAAAATTAATTTTTCTATCCCTCTGGAACTGTATTGTTTTTCTGGATGAAAGGTACCCTATGTCCTTCTTTGTATCACTGAGAATGAGTGTACAAAATTTCCTGGTGATGGATTGAGTAGTTAAGACGTGAAATCGTAACAAACAAACAAAATTCGAATTTATAATATTAGCTAGGATATCTGCCAAATTACATTAAGAAATGTTGCTTAGGACGGATTAGTTAATCTTTCTTTTGCAATCCATTTTTCTGGAAAGAAGCATCGTAAATTGTTCAGAAAACTTTCACTGAAAAATTACGGTAAAACCCACGACCACCTACATGATTATTCAACTCTTTGTTTTGTGTCATTTTGTAATGCAACTAAATTATCTTTAGAAGAAACCACGAATTTATCTACGTGCATAATGTGTGATACATATCTTGGTATAATTTCATACAACGTCCGTTTTAGTCCGTTTTAGAAAAGGTATTCGAGGTCTGTAGGTCACAAATTTTCAACATGTAAGTAGTCAATATTTTGCATCTTTGACTAAAGAAACAATTCAGTCAGATCGTAGAAACAGAACAAAAATGATATTGTATGCGAGAAAATTAACAACCAATGTACGTACTATTGTAAGATTTGTATAAGAATGTGTTACTCAAACAGTGGTAATCATTATCAAAACTCAAATGTTTCTTTATTTGCAAAAAAAAAGTCTTATTTTACAAATAAAATTGCAAAATAAGGGGACCCATCTTAATTTATATATTCCCATCGGTATGTAGTACCTACAGTAACAGCCCTTTATTCGCGGAGTATACGTTCCATAAATCTGCCGCGAATATAGAAACCGTGGATATGGAATGGTAATTAGTATAGAATCATAAGGGATACGTTTTAAGGTTCCAAAATAAAATAAATATGTATCAGAATAAATTCAATTTATTGAGAAATTCGCAATTANATTCGCGGAGTATACGTTCCATAAATCTGCCGCGAATATAGAAACCGTGGATATGGAATGGTAATTAGTATAGAATCATAAGGGATACGTTTTAAGGTTCCAAAATAAAATAAATATGTATCAGAATAAATTCAATTTATTGAGAAATTCGCAATTAAAATTAATCGTTATAATCACTTTTAGACAGGGGTTTAAAAAATTTAGTGATTTTTTCTTGTTTTGAAATTTGAATTAGTCTACTCGTTTACATCTTTTATAAAAGTCGCCTTGGCACACATTAAGGGGATTCAGTAGTACATGCGCCGTAGAGTAAAAACATGCTTATCGGTTCTATATATCATGAGTTTAATGTTCCGAACACAGGTTTGAAATTTTGTAGTAAGATAGATAAAGCTTTTTTCTAAAGCCTGGCGAAGGCCATTTCTTAATTTTTTAATTTCTATTGAAAATACGTGTCCTACAAGAAGCATCAACTTTAAGCACTTGTAGAAGCTTTTAATGACCATATTATTGAAAACCAAAAACGTACCGAGTTAGTGTGAACCTTTGTCTGTTACCATACAAAAGAATCAGATATTTATCTCGCAGCGTTAAATCAATATGTTTAGAATAGAAATCCATGTTTTCGGAAAAATTCACACTAATCACAAGCGGTCTATTGAGGATAATTCCCTTAATACATGACACAGAATCCTTTTCTGTTTACCGATTGCATTCGAGAATAATGAAATTTTAGCCGCAAATACAGGAACTGGGTTGCAATTTTTTCACCCGCGAATAATGAAAACGCGAATAAGGAAACCGTGAATAAGGAACTTTTACTGTATAGGGTATTATTTATATATGTAATGAGTTACTGAAACAGGTGTCTTCCTCTTATAGAAGCCTTCAACGTTAATTCATCTACCAATTTTTATTTATTAAGTACACCTCCGTGTAATGACCCTGTATTTCTAAAGAAACCAATTAATCGCGTCGTATACGTGATTATATGTATACTTCTAATGACTACGAAATTATATGTTAGTAAAATTAAACCTTGGCGGTTATTACACAAGATGGAGATGATGGATCCCGGATATTTTCTTATCCTCTGATTAACCCAATTTTGTTTATGTAGTAAATCATCAGTCATATTCATAAGTCGTTTTGCACTTTAAAATACCACGGTAGGAAAAATTTAAAAAAAATTATTAATAAAATACGAAAATTGAGTATGTAAATAAAAAAAAAAATATTGGAGAGAACACTTGCCTTGTACATACTGCTTTAAGTATTTAGTTATTTAAATAAAAGAACTATTAAACCATAATAAAACAAATCTTTATCAAGTATCAGTAACAGTTTCTTTTAATAATGCAATTATCATATGTGTTTAATAATATATAGTCAACTTCATTAAAATGCACTGATTTAGTTTATAAATTTTAAAACCTTATACAATAGTTATGAGATGTTAGTTTCAGATAATCTAAAATATTAATTTTTCCGTTGTCAGTACTAAATTAACTAATTAAAGAGACCGAAAGGGGTTGTTATTGAGTACATGTACCTACTATACTTATGTTATAAGTGAGTATGTAACAACATTCTAATAATTCGCGTTTGGCACTTAAGATGTTGTTTTTATTTTCTGGCTTGCTAAGCGAGACAAGGCAGTAAATCAACAAGGAAGACAAAAAAGTTGCTTTATGCGTTAATAATTGTAACTTTATCAAATTATTATCTGTATTTATTGGTGGTGACAGTGATACAACATTTAGGGCGTCAGAATTTCATAGTCGTTGATAGATTGCTGTTAATATTTCTTATAGTTATTATGATCGAAGTTTATTTTGTTTTTTAAATTGAAAGTCAATTCATTTACCGTTGCTCTTATTGAAAGAAACATTTCCAATTTCGTTACTTAGACACGGCATCTTTGGAATACAATTAAAACAGCTAAGAAAAGCATATTGTGTAATTAATCATTTCAGATGTTCCACAATGTAATAGATTTAATGGTTGTTTGATTCGTTTTATAATAGTGCATTGAGAATATAGCATTTTTTATGTAGTATATTCTGTAAAACCGTCACAACAACTAAACAACGGTAGATTCATTTACTTAATTACTTTTATCACTGAACATTTTAAAAAGAAAAACAAAAGATAATCTAGGTACATAAATAGTAAAATTTTAAAAATTATCTACTAAGAATTCCTTATCCTTAAAAAACAGGATGCTTTTTACTTCCTAAAATATTTACGATGGCAAAAAAGTGATGTACTTATTAGTAGTCAAAAGCTTTGGCGAGCAGGTAGAAATAAATGCAGGACGAATTAACAGCATTTCGTATAGTTCCTTACAGGAAGAGAAAGCACAGGTACTTATATACATAAATATGTTAAAAAGAAAAACAAAAGATAATCTAGGTACATAAATAGTAAAATTTTAAAAATTATCTACTAAGAATTCCTTATCCTTAAAAAACAGGATGCTTTTTACTTCCTAAAATATTTACGATGGCAAAAAAGTGATGTACTTATTAGTAGTCAAAAGCTTTGGCGAGCAGGTAGAAATAAATGCAGGACGAATTAACAGCATTTCGTATAGTTCCTTACAGGAAGAGAAAGCACAGGTACTTATATACATAAATATGTATATATTAGTNGCTAGCGCTAAATTCCTTAGGTCACTTACGGAATGCATACGCTAGATTAAAATTTATAATTAAGTAATATTTGTCGAATAGGGTAAGACACTTCGTTTGTACCAGATGTCCTGGGACACATTACAGCTTGCTTTTTTTTTAAGTTAATATTTTTACCGAAGATACCCTAGACAAAAATTTTCAGTCCCTCAGAGTCTTTTAACGTCTCTGAGAGCGTCTCTCACTGTTTTTCACAGTCTCTCAGTTATTGCCTAGGTGCCTAGGTGTTTTTATGGATCTCTCGCAGTCTCTGTATGAGAGACTCGAACGATAAAATTGTTAATTCAGAGATTCGAATGAATAAAACTGAAAAATTTTAGAAAATTTTAATGATGTCTATCGGGACACCATTTATTGAGAGATTCGAGTCTCTCGTTCAGAGATTCGAGTCACTCGTTTCGAGACTAGCTACGAAATGAGGATCTCTCTATGAGTGACTCTAAAGAGACGATAAACAGCTTTTTTGACAGTCTCTCTCAGCGACACCAGAGAGACTCGATGAGAGACAGAGACTCGAGTCTCGTTTTCAGAGACTCTGTGAGACTGAATATTTTTATCTCGGGTATCAATGACTAAAACAAGAGCTATTGACACTTTAACTTTTAGTTACAGCATGTTAGGTCATGATGATATTTACTTATTGTTA